TTTTTTTTAGTCTTTTTGAGACAGGGTCTCCCTGTAGCCCCAGCTGTCCTATGAAGACCAGGCTGGCCTCAAACTCACAGAGATCCGCCTACCTCTGCCTCCCGAGTGCTGGGATTAAAGGCGTGTACCACCACACCTGGCTTATATTGACAATTTTGATAAGAACTATTGTGCATAAATATGGATTACTTAAGGCAGGTAGAAACGGACTGTAAAGTCTAAACAGCACAATGCAAAAAAAACCCTTCTGTAATAACAGAAATGTTCTATTTCTGTTTAAAAACCTAGTTTTAAATGAAATAAGATCTGAGCAGCCATATAAATAAATGACTACAACACAAACAACAGGTCAGGCAAGTTGTGCAATCATTTACTTAAAAGGGCCAGGCATGGCGGCACACGCCTTTAATCCCAGCACTCAGGAGGCAGAGGCAGGCAGATCTCTGGGAGTTCAAGGCCAGCCTGGTCTACATAGGACAGCTGGGACTACAGGGAGACCCTGTCTCAAAAAAACCAAAAAAAAAAAAAAAGTACCACACTGGTGGAACTAACCTTCTTGGATGTTTAACAGCCATACTTTGAGGCCTATACTAATCTGGTCAGAGGGACTTAAAGGGCAGTTTTTGCTCCTTGCCATCCAGTTCCAGGGGACCATGAAGCAGTTCTTAAAATGTCCTGTAACTGTGGTGAGTCACCTGTCCTCTTGATCAAGGAGGCCGTGGAGACCTGATGGACCAGATGGACTTGAACGGGTGTCCACTCTACAAAGAGGAGGGTCAACACTGAAGAAACATCTCCTCCAGGCTTCCAAATTAAGCCAGCCATGGTCAAGAAGGACCTTTGACTTATCTTCACATAGATGGAACTGGTAAAAAAAGGAGCCAGGGGCTCCTCCCAAGCCCATGTGACCCCTGAGGAACTGATCCTCAAATGGCCTTAAGAGTAAAAATAAATTGGTTTATCTGAGCCAACTATATGGTCTTAATCACCTAAAAGGAAAGTATAACCAAAGATTAAAGGGATCAATATAATTATTTAAGAGTTCGTGTGTATAGCTAAAGGCTACATAATAAGAAACAATGCCAGACAGGAGATACCTTCCTTTGAGTTGTTGGCCAGAGTGGCCTAAGAGACTCCCAGACAGTAACCCAGAATAGAACTGGGAAAATGAACAATCTTATCTAAAAGAAAATTGGCAACTGATTGTTGCTAGATGAGGAAGATCTGATCTTCCCAAAACAAGCAACTCTAGATAGGCTGACTAGACTTACCAGATGGACAAGCACTGGGGAATGCCTGGGGGCACATACAACACGGGACAGTAACAAGGATGACAGAGTATGTGGGCTCCAGTGGGGGGGGGGTGCTATGGAAGGGTGCCATTTGGGATGCAGGTATATAGATGTAAGATTGTTTGAGGAGCTGGAGAGATGGCTCAGCAGTTAAGAACATGGTTGTTCTTGCAGAAGATCCAGGTTCAAATCCCAGCACCCACATGGCAGCTAACAACTGTCCGAAACTCCAGTCCCAAGGGATCTGAGAGCCTCTTCTGATTTATGTAAGTGCACCCATTTATGCTGTGTGCTCATGGGGGTCAGAAGACGCTGTTGGATCCCCTGGAGCTGGAGTTATGGACAGTTGTTAGCTGCCATGTGGGTGCTGGGATTCAAATCTGGGTCTTCTGCAAGAACAACCGGTGTTCTTAACCGCTGAGCCATCTCTCCAGCCCCATATAAGCCTTTCTTTAAGATCTGATTTTTTAGACCAACCGTGTCCTGCCCTGTTCTTTCTCTCCCTTTACTATTCTGTTCTCTTTTGGAGACAAGCTCTCCCTTTGTGCAGAGGGTGGTGTGGAGATGGGGGTCTCCCTGACTCTCGAGTGCTAGGGATTTCTTCAGGGTGTCTGACTGCAGTTCTTTTCCTCTACCTCGCTCATTCTACCTTTCACTGTAGTTGCCATGCCTCCTCCCTTGCTCTGTTCTGTTCCCCCTCTATTTACCTTTCTCGTTTCCTCTACTGTTCTAATAATAATCACTAGTCTTATTCTGCTTATTTTCTTTTGAGTCCTACTGTTAGTAACTAATTTTCTTTGTGTGCACTATATTGTCCTTTTTCCTTTACTTCCAAAAACTTATCGAAGTTGAAAACTTGACTCCTTTGAATTGGCCATTTCTGTATTTTCACAGTAGGCTCATTCATCAGTTGTGGCTGCTTCTGCAGTTAGTGTTCCATGCTTGCACATGCTGGAGATCATGCCCACTGTCCTCAGCACGTGTGCTAGAGGTTTAGCTACTTAGAGCAGTGAGTCAGGGAAAGAAACTACATTTTACCCCTACTGCAGTAACTTAGTCTCACTTGAACACTAAAACTGAAAGAATACAAGTGATTAAAGAAACCCAACCATGACCTAATTCTGTATATGCGAGTTCCAACACAAAAACCTAAGATACATGAAAAGCCAAGGGACCATGATTCTCTAAAAATTATCATTTTCACAGAAACAGATTCCAATGACAGTGGAATAGATAATGTCCAAGACAAAAAATTCAAAAGATAAATTATAAGAATGTTCAACAAAATCAAAGAGGACATGAATAAACTCCTGAATAAATTCAAAGAAGATATAAATAAGTAGCCAGGTGAAATAAGGTAGACAATAAAGAATATAAAGGATTAATTTTTAAAAAGACAAATGCTGAAAAAAATCAAAGTCAAATATTGGAAATAAAAAACTTAACAAGTCAGGGACTAGAGAGATGGCTCAGTGGTTAAGAGCACTTACCAATCTTTCAGAGGACCGGGGTTTGATTCCCAGCACCCACGTGGTGGCTAACAATGGTTCCTAGTACCAGAGGAATCCGATGCCCTCTTCTGACCTCTGTGGGCAATGTACAACACGAGTGTGCTTACATACCATGTAGCCAATACATAT